ATTTTTATTTTTCTTTAATTAGTTTATTTTAATTTTATTTATTTATTAATTTCATTTTTGTATTTATTTTTCTCATTTAAAATTTATTTAATTATAACTTTATTTAATTTTAATTCACGCTAATACATTAAATTTTATCTTACTTTATTTTAATTTATTTTTTTCAATATTTTAAGTTAATTTAATTTATTGGAAGTTATTAGTATTATTATTATTATTAATTATTTAATTTATAGTAAATTGACATATTATCCTTTTATTTTATTTATTTACTTATTTTTAAACTATTTAATTCATTTCAGTATGATGTATAGATATATTTATGTTCAATAGATTACACATCCATTCATATGGTCTAGTGGTTGAGCGGCCAATCCCTTCCTTTCCAACCTAGGTTCGAATCTTGTTGCCCACAGTTCATACCATTTAGGTTTTGCACATAATTCAAGGTTAAAATAATAATTTCCGTCACTTTGGGGTGAAAAAATGAAGAAAAAGCCGCACAGCACGCGCGTGCACGCCACTTCCGTCATTTTAGACGGTTTAGGGTGTTTCGCGCATGCAAAATCTTAATAAAAGGGGGTCTGACGCAATTTTTAAAATACAAGGGGGAAACGCGCAGATTTAGTATAATACAGGGAGATTTGGTGCATTAAACCCAAAAGAATTAACCACAATATTCATTTTTGTAAACCGCAGTAGGATCCATCTTCACCAAGGTAACTTAGATAACTTCTCATAATTCAAATAATTTCAGCTACTCTTAAATATTTTGCATACTAACTAGGTTACCATGACAAAGTGTTGGGGTGCCCATCGGCTTTCTATCCTTTGAAAATTTATCTTATTGAAATTGAAAACAGACATTATTGAGGAAAGCCTTTGAAAATTTATAACAACAACATAACTTTTTAGTATCAAGCAAGTTGGGGTAGACTAGAGATGAAATCCAAGAGAACCAATGGCAAGAGAAACACAAAAGGAGCTCAAAACAAAAGAAAGAGATTGGAGCAAAAGAGAAAGGAGCAAAAGTCACAGTTCTGGTACGTTGATTGCTAGCCTACAAGCGCTCCTATCCACCGCTAAATCCTTGGAGATATTCCAATCTTTAAGGTCTCTCTTAACTGACTCTTCCCAACTGAGTTTAGGCCGACCTCTACCTCTCTTTACATCATCTACCAACTCCCCTACGCACCGGTGCATCAGGAGGCCTCCGTTGGACATGTCTGAACCACCTCAGCCGATGTTGAACCAATTTCTCCTCAATTGGAGCCACCCCGACCCTATCTCGAATATCCTCATTCCGGATTCTATCCCTTCTTGTGTGCCCACAGAACCAACGCAACATACGCATCTCTACTACACTTAGTTGTTGGACATGTTGCCTTTTTGTAGGCCAACATTCAGCACCGTATAGCATCGCGCGGGCGAATCGCAGTCCTATAGAACTTACCTTTTAGCCTTTGTGGCACCCTTTTATCGCAGAGAACGCTCGAAGCTTGACGCTATTTCAACCAACCGGCTGCAATTCTATGTCTAACATCAACATCAATGGCGCCATCCTTTTGTAGCATCGATCCTAAATACCGGAAAGTTTCCTTCTTGGCCACCACTTTCCCGTCAAGGCTAACGTCACCATCATCATGTGTAGCCATGCTGAAAGCGCATGTCATGTACTCGGTCTTCGTCCTACTAAGTCTGAAGCCTTTCGACTATAACGTGTCCTTCCACAGCTCTAACTTCGTATTTACCCCTGCCCTACTCTCGTCAACTAGCACCATCATCATCAGCAAAGAGCATACACCAAGGGATATCACCTTGTATGTCTCTTGTGGCCTCATCCATCACCAAGGCGAATAAATATAGGCTCAATGCTGACCCCTGGTATAGTCCTATTTTAATTGAGAAGTCGCTGGTATCGCCCCCACATGTTCGGACACATGTCATCGCATCCTTGTACATATCCTTGATGAGGGTAATGTACTTAGATGAGACTTTGTGCTTTTGTAAGGCCCACCACATGACATTCCTCGGTACTCTGTCATAAACCTTCTCAAGGTCGTGCAAGTCCATGTGCAAGTCCTTCTTTGAAAATTTATCTTATTGAAATTGAAAAAAATAATATTTTCGGTATGCACAAGGAATAAGACATGAATGGAATGATATTATTATCCTGTATTATCATTTATCACTATTTTATAGAAAAAATTAATATTGATTTTAATTTTAATTTTTTTAATTTATTATAATAATAAAATTATATTATTTCTTAAAAAAATTATATTTTAATAAATATATTTTTGTATTGTTACACTCATATACATTATATAATAAAATAATGAATTGTATATTTAAATACATATCAATTAATACAAATATATCATTACATAAACCTCTATAAACATATGTGGACGAATATAATTTTTATAATGATAGTTCAATTTATAAATGAATATATAATATATAGTGTTAATACCAATTTTTAGCCATATAAATTTATAACACACAAATTTTGGCCATCTTTGATAAAAAAACATTTTTTTCAGCATTTTGGCATGTGTTTTTATTATATTATCCCTACCTCAATTTTGGCTTTTTCTTTCCTCACAATTCGATTAATTTCACAATCAAAATTTTCATCTCTCCCGCTCGACTCTGAAACCTCACGACCACCTTCAAAAATTTCATCTTCATCTTCAAAAAATTCACCAGAATTCTTGCCGCCCTTCACGACCTCGTCCAAACGCCGCCCTTCACGACCTCACGACCTCACGACCTCGACCGAACGCCTTCACGACCTCGACCGAACGCCGTCCGAACGACGGAATGACCTCGCCGGAATCTGAAATCAATGCCGCCCTTCACGACCTCGACCGAACGCCGTCCGAACGACCGAACGGCCTCACCGTAATCTGAATTCAGGTAGCGAAAGCGACGACCTCCCTTTTTGGTNAGTTCGGGAATGTTAAGGGTGATATGTTCATACTTGTGAAATTTTAGATGTCATGTGCTCAACTGTTTTGTGTGTTGTTTATATCATCACCTGAACAGGTCGATCGAGTTCGATTTGCAGCTGCAGGGTGAAGAGCTGTTGGTGTTGGGGGAGAGGAGCAAAGTCGTAAGGGATATGAATGCGCTGCCCTGGAAAGGGGGCAGAGAGGAAACCGTGGACTACGAGTTTCTGAGGGCCGAGCTGTGGAAGATTGCGGTGACCAACGGGCAGGTCGTTCTTCTCTTCTGCCAGATGTGTGGGTGCCCGATGTCGAAGCTCGAGGGGTGGGGCCCCGCTAAACTGGGCGGCGTCACAAGAAGTGAGTTGGGCTGTGAGGTTTTGGCTTAATTATTGCATTCTTGATTGCAATTTTGTTGTTCTTTTATCGTAATTTAGTTCTGGACCTTCTGGTGTTATAGCTTCTGTCGGTGGATATATTTTCAAATGATTCATGTTAGAACTTCTCTTCAGTGAAGTTCTTGTATGGTTTATGTTAATGTGAATGTGGTTTATTGCAGGGAGTTATTGCAGAGGTTCTTGCAGTTATGCATTAGCTGGGATGAGGCTGCACTGGTTGTGGCTCAGAAGTTGATGAACATTCCAGAAATTGTTTGAATGATACCCAAAATAGTTCTCATACACACACACACACACATATATACACATATATTTTCCTTTAATACTGCAGGCTTTCAAGGGCGATATGAAAATGCATCCAACAGTGCTCATGTTAATGCTCACCTTGCTATATCGGTTGTTATTCGTGGTGTTAGCGAGCTTGTAGTTAAGGAACTCACTAGCTAGGTATGACAAACTCTTAAAAAAGTTTTATATATTTGATTTTTGATACAAATTATAATATTTGGATTAATTATACTACACAATGGTTGTAAGATGAATGTCATGAATAAATATTTTTAACTTTGTTATGAACACTTTTGAAAGTTGTTTGTAAACATGTTGAGTTTTGAGGAGCAGATGATGTGGTCAATTAATTCATATTTGCTTTGCCATACGAGATTTATGTTTCATATTTGCTTTGCCATAGCCAATTTTCAACTTGTTCCAACACCTATAAAGATGAAAAACACATAATTTATTTGCATTGGGGTTTGGGGTGGATTTGTTATTATAGTTTCACAGTTCTCTTTTCTTTCCTTGAGAATACAGCATAACTCAATACATCATATATGTTAAAATCATTAATGCTCATATTCTAGAAAGACATTAGTTGTTAGGTGGTCGTTGAAATAATTAAGTGAATTAATTGATGGTTTAAAAAAATAAAATTTTGTCAAGAAAGGCGGCCCACTCACCGCCTTAAGTAGTCTATATATATGCATGGAGGGTGTGAATTAATAATCAATCAGAACAAAGAAACAAAAGCCTTGTCTCGACTCTCTGTACAATACATTGATCAATAAAATAAAGTTACTTGTCTCCCATTCTTTCCACCAATTTCAATTATTCTCCAACACAATTATAAATTATTTTTGATACCAACAGTGGTTTCAGAGCCCGGTTAGATCAATAGCTGGGCGGAATTCTTTTTCCATATCCTTCTATTTATACATATCTTGTCCAAATACCCTACTTTCATATATTCTCGTACTTTCATATAGCCTACTAAATTTCTAAAATGGCCACTTCCCAAAATACCCATCAAATACCAATTCCTATTTTCTCCGGCGAAAATTAAAACTATTGGTCCATCAAAATGAGGACATATTTTATGTCCCAAGGCCTGTGGAATATTGTTGAGAATGGGTATACTATTCCCGATAACATATCCACTTTGTCTACGACGGACGAAGAAAAATTCGACCGGGAGAAGGAAAAAGACTGTTTGGCTCTTTTTACACTACAAATAGCCATGACGGAGTCCCTGTTTCCAAGAATTAGCGGAGTACAAACATCAAAGGAGGCTTGGGATACTCTAAGGGAAGAATATCAGGGTAGTGACAAGGTACGCCATCTAAAATTACAAACTCTAAGAAGAGATTTGGAAAATATGAAGATGAAAGAATCAGAGACCGTAACGATTAAGAGAAGTAATAAATCAACTAAAAGCATATGAAGAAAATATCTCTGACAAAAGGGTGGTAGAAAAAATTCTTATTACTCTACCAGCCAAATACGATCCTATCGTCACAACAACTAAAAGCATATGAAGAAAATATCCCTGACAAGAGCAACTGGGAAACTTGTTGCTGACTATGGATCTTTACATGTCTTTGGGTGTCCTGCGTACTATCATGTGAAGGATTCAAAGTTAGATCCAAGAGTGAAAAAGGCTTTGTTCATGGAAATCACAATTGGCGTGAAGGGATATCGTCTTTTGTGTCTTGAGACGAACAAAACTGTGTTAAGCAGGGATGTTACATTTGATGAACAAGGTGTGATAAAAACGACGCAAACCCAACAGGTGGAGTTGATACCAAAGCAGGTGGAGATAGATGCGATGACGAGACGACCAGCTATGATCGACGAACCAATATTAAAGGATTCGTCGGATGATGAAGTACAGACTCAAGAATAATTAGAGTTACCCATTGCATTGAGAAAGCCCAGACGAGAGATTCAACAACATGCTCGATTGGCGAATATGGTGGCTTATGCACTTCCAACTGTTGATGATGACATACCTTTCACTTTTCAAGATTCAATTCGGAGTTTAGAAAATGAGAAGTGGAAAAGGGCTATGGAGGAAGAAATGTTGTCTCTCCAGAAGAATCAGACCTGGAAGGTGACGCAACTACCAAAAGGCAAGAGGGCGATAGGATGCAAGTGGGTATTTGCAAAGAAAGTTGGATTTCCTCATAAGAATGATGTGTGCTACAAGGCAAGATTGGTGGCTAAAGGCTACGCTCAGAAGGAAGAAGTTGATTATAATGAAGTATTTTCTCCAGTTGTTAAGCACTCTTCCATTAGAATTTTGTTGGCCTTAGCAGCACAGTTGGATTTAGAGCTAACTCAACTTGACGTGAAGACGGCATTCTACACGGAGATTTAGATGAGGAAATCTACATGACTCAGCCAGAAGGATTCAAAATTCTTGGAAAAGATAATTAGGTCTGTAAGTTGAATAAATCGTTGTACGGACTGAAGCAATCTCCGAGACAGTGGTACAAACGGTTTGATAAGTTTATGATTGGGCAGAAGTACACACGAAGCAGACATGATCATTGTGTGTATCTACGCAAGCTGCAAGATGGATCTTTCATTTACTTACTATTGTATGTGGATGACATGTTGGTTGCATCAAAGAGCCAAATGGAGATTGATCATTTGAAGGCTCAGTTGAATCAAGAGTTTGAGATGAAAGACTTGGGGGAAGCTAAGAAAATTCTCGGAATGGAGATAAGTATGGACAAAAGGAGAGGCGAGCTTTGTTTGACTCAGAAGCAATATCTGAATAAGGTACTATAGCGTTTCGGCATAAAAGATGAGACGAAGCTTGTAAGTACACCACTTGCCCCTCATATTAAGTTAAGTGCGCAATTATCGCCAAATTGTGATGAAGAACGAGAGTACATGGATTGAGTCCCATATGCAAATGCAGTTGGCAGTTTGATGTATGCGATGGTGTGTACAAGGCCCGACATTTCACAAGCAGTTGGTGTTGTTAGCGGGTATATGCATGACCCTGGTAAAGTTCATTGGCAAGCTGTGAAATGGATTCTACGGTACATTCATAATACTGTAGACATTGGATTAGTTTATGAGCAGAATGAAGTTGGTCAATGTGTAGTTGGATATTGTGATTCTGACTATGCGGGCGATTTGGATAAGCGAATATCAACGACTGGATATTTGTTCACTTTTGCGAAAGCTCCAGTCAGTTGGAAGTCTACCTTACAGTCAACAGTTGCTTTGCCTACAACAGAGACAAAGTATATGGCAGTTACTGAAGCTGTGAAGGAGGCTATTTGGCTTCAAAGTTTGCTTGAAGACTTGGGAGTTGGTCAAAAGCACGTCTTAGTGCATTGTGCCAGTCAGAGCGCTATTCACTTAGCGAAAAATCAAGTATTTCATGCAAGAACGAAGCATATTGATGTTCGCTATCACTTTGTGCGGGAGAATTCTGTAGATATGATGACCAAGGTAGTGACAACAATCAAGTTTAAACATTGTTTAGATTTGACTAACATTCTGCATATTTGAGTTGGCGCCGAGAGGCGCATTTGAAGACACCGCCAGCAGTTGATTTGGATTGAAGAGTCGAAGTGGGAGCAAAATTAGTCAAGGTGGAGAATTGTTAGATTTTGATTAATTAGTTGTCCCACATCGGATGTATACCAAAGATGTGTAGGATCTTATCAGTATAAGTAGGTCTCTTGCGTTTGGGTTACAATTGCACCTTATTCTATTCTCTCCTCTCTTAGAAAGAAATCCTTAATTAAGAAAATCTTAATTTGTGGGTTATTTAACCCTAGTTGTATTTTGTTGGTGAGTTTAGTAAATTTGGCGTTGCGGTGCCCGGAGACGTAGGCTATTTTCGCCAAACTCCGTTATCAATTTTTGTGTTCTTTTTATTTCTCGTCTTTTATTTATTTGTGTTGGCTTATTTTCGTTTGGAGTAGTGCTTGCCATATTTGTTGGAGGGGTATTTTTGTCCGCTGCATTTGGTGTTCTACCCCAACACCTATATATTAAGTCAGAACATGCTGAGCCTAAGTGGCAGACTCGCATGCTTCGAGATCTTATGTGGAAAAATTTCATGCTTCGTTACTAAGGCTTGGGTAGATTTTAATTTACTTCCAATCCAAAAATAATTAGGTTCGGACTATCTATAAATATGTTGATTATTTATGGTCATGTTACATGTATTAATGCATTTTAATATCATATTTTATTATAACCATTGAATTGTAAATATATTTTAAAAGTTAATAACTTTTGTATTTTTTATCAGTTTTACATATATAATGTATCAAATTAATCATCTCTTGATGAGTTTCGATTTAGCATCCATATTGTATGTATAAAAAAATATTATATTTATCTTATAACAATAATAAAGTTATTTTTAATATTAATTAGAAAAATAATTTTTCTTTTTTTTTTGGCCACAACGATAGGGGAGCTATATATAACAACCAAATGAGTTCGAGTACAAGAGAGGTAACAAACTGAAATAAAACTGAGAGATGCTACACAAAGCACCTAGAACCTCAACAACAGATAACTAGAAAACAGAAAAACAGAAAAAGAAGCAATGCATCTCTCCACTGCCAATAGGCCTAGCTAGAATACATCCCTTCAAAATCAAAAAGACTCCTAAAGCAAAACAGAAAATAAACTAATCTAATCAAGGAGAAAGAACATCATGGTGTCCTGCAGCTAATGAAGCATCCATCCAATCTTTTTGTGCAGCAGTAATCACAATGTGTTCCGGCATGAGAGAACCTTTAAAAACCCAAAGATTTCTTGATTTCCATAGCCACCAAAGCAAGTAAGTGGACAGTTGGATTCTAGCTTGGACAACATCACTTTGTTTGATGGAGCTAACCTGTTGCCACCAATGTTTGAAGGAGGAAGAGCAATGCTGCAAGCCATCCCAGTTGACTGGAGCATACTCCCAAATCCTACTTGCTCTTGGGCATGAAAAGAAGATGTGTTCTGAGGTCTCTGGTTGATCACCACAAATGGAGCAGATAGCATTGATGTCTAATCCTTTCTTCCTCAGGTTTACAGCAGATGGCAGTGTCCCTGTGATACACTTCCATAGGAAGTGTTTTAGTTTGCTTTGTATCTTCATCTGCCAGCATCTCTGATAAATCTGTTGAGGAGGGAAGGGACTT